GGCTTCACTGAGTTACGCAAGCCCCTTTGCCACGACAAGGCAGTGATCCATGAAGGGGGAGTGATGGTTAGTGAGAAAAAAAAGAATGTGTCTGCTTGTACTTTGTATTTTTCCTCTTTTTGTATGTTATCTTCTGTTTATGTCAAAATTGTTCCAGTGCTTCTGTTTTTTAAGGCTTTATGAGGAAGTGGCAGTTACTAAATATTCCTACCCAGTCCTGCTTAGTGCTGTTAACTTAGAACATTGTGTGAATCCCAAAGTTTGGCAGTAATCACTTTTTCTAGATCAAAAAACACTTTTCTGTTTGGCAATTACAGTTGCATTAACAGCTTATTGTCTAGGGTTCTGTTTCTAAATAATGTTCATAAAATTTGCAGATGTGCAAAATATTCTATAGTATAAAATCAAATAGATAATAAGGATACATTGAAAAAGAGTAGAAACATCTATATTCATGTCTCTGGGAGATATAGATGTGTCTATCAACATGGTTGTATTATAAACCATTGGGAACCTTTTCAGACTACAGTTGTATACATACATAAATCAATATCTGGATGCAACAGGATCGAAATCTATGTGGTTGCTGATTAAAATCATTTTGCTTCCGTGACCTGGAGCTAACACTATAGAGAAGTGATCGTCTGCAAGTTCCCATTTCTGTGGCCCTGAAGAAGGCATGGGACCATTTGCTGTATTTGCTGCTTAAAATGTTGATATGTTTATATTTTGGGGATGGCAATATACTTTATAGAAGAGTATTTAATGAGACCTAGAGATTTAGCTGTTCTTCCCCATTTAATATTTACTGTTTTTTTCTCTCTCTTTTTTAAAAATGGTTTAATAGAATAGAAAAGAAGCAAAAAACATATAAAGTACAGAAAGGAAAATGAAACAAATAATAACTAACTAAAACTTGTAAATGTTTAAGGAATGATATACCTCATTTTTTAAACAAATTAAACTTTGACCACAGGGAAACATATTGTCCAGTCCTTTTATTGCATCAATAAGGAACCATTTTGAAAGCTAAGAGTGCACACATTTAATCAAGCCAATTGTTTGGTCTCTGCTATGCATGTAACTTTCCTGGGATACTTAACAATAATTTTTGTTACCATCCAAGCATGATAGATCCTAAATAGATTATTTCTCAATTTTTGGAATGTAATGTAACAACACATCTTTGAAGCTTGACTCCTTAATCAGAATTAATAATATTTAATTAGGATGGAACAACCAGAAGATATGACTAAATGATGTGTATTAACATACCTTTGAATTGAAAATGTATATAACCAGCCCTTATTAAATATCTACTGAGGAATCCAATAAATCTGAAAAAGAAGTTTGGGTGGAGTAAATAAGTAATCACCTTAAGATCATTAGAAACATATTTAATTTTTTAAAAAATCTGAAACCTCTGACTCAAAACTTGAGTAGTTATTTTTCTTCCGTTTCCCTGAAGCGAATGCCAGTCCTATCACATATAAACACTTTAAACACATCTCAGGCAGTTGTCAAATTGGTTGATTATTTATTTGAAAAAAATATCTCAGTCTTTTTGTTGTTAATCAACAAGCTTTGGATCATCTGATAATGATGTATTAAAGTACCAGCTTGAAACTTCTTCCTAAATGCCATAGATAACGTCACTGGAGCATGATCACATTATAGTAGATCATATAGAATCTCTGCTTTTCTGCCAGGTGAATGACAGGAGTTTGCTTTTCAGATAAAGGAAGTTATGCTGCAGTCCGACATTCTGTGCGTCGCTGAGAGAGGATGTATTTGTGGGCAGGATGCTGAATTGAAATCCAGGGTCTAGTTTCATTGTGTTTCTTGGGTTCTAACAGTTCAGTGTTATTCTTTGCTTTTCTCCCAAGGGTGGTTTCCCTGAGAGTGGATGGATCATGCAATAAATGAACAAAGATACTTCATTCTGCTAATCGCAACTTTTGTAATACAAAATATTACGAATACAACAACAACTTTTTGTTGTTGCTGATAGGATACAAATCTGTAGCCTGAGTTACTTAAAATCCAGCTTGGTACAAATCAGATATGAGGTGCTTAATTGATTCTCCTGGCTTGCTGTGCTGGTTTAGGGACAGAATGCTGAGAAGAAAGTGGATATTACTGCCATTGAAACAGAGCCATTCCCTGAGTTTCATGCTGAACAACTGGAAAACCAGACAAAAGTATTTGGAACTGGCATGGATGCTGGAGGCATCAGGCAGGAGCAGCCCTTCATTGTTCTGAGTCAGGAAGAATATGGAGAACACCACTCATCCATCATGCATTGCCGGTAAGGATTGGAAAGTGATTAGAAAGTTGAATGTCATATTTGTCAATAACATCTCAGTAGAGTGGAATCCAAATCTTTCTGGACTTGGCAAATCATAGACATTTATTCTTGGTTCCCAGTCTATCAAATGCAAATTATGATTAAATGCATGTTTTGTTATCATAAGGCTTATACAGAGTTCTGGATATTAGAAATACTGATGATGATGAAAATATCTAGACAGGGTTTAATAGATATAAAAGATCAAATGGGTAATAGAAGTCCATACCATATTTATGAAGAGGAGACTATAAGTGCAAGTATTGGAAGGACAGAAGCATATCTTCTTTCCATGTTTAGGGTTGACTGCTCTGGTCGAAGGGTAGCCAGTTTAGATGTGGATGGAGTCATCAAGGTGTGGTCCTTCAATCCCATCATGCAGACAAAAGCATCTTCAATTTCCAAGTCTCCACTGCTTTCTCTAGAATGGGCAACCAAACGGGACAGGCTGGTGAGTAGCTGGGATTACTGTGAAGCTGATTGTCTTCAATTATTACTGAAGTACTCATTACAATTTTGGCTGGGGATGATTTTTAGTCCAGTGCATGAGGAGGGAACCAGATTGAAGAAGTTGTACTAAACCCAGCTTCCTTTTTGTTTTGGATGTTCCTAGGCTTAAACTCCATTGTACCTTAAGAAATGCCATGGCTGTACAATGCAGTTGAGATTATTTCTGTAAATATAGAAGGTATCTTGCAGCTCTATGTGTCATGATTAATAGTGAGTTTAAAGACTGGAGACTATTGAGAGAATTGCAAATTTTTGCAAGTTTACTAAATTGGTCACCAAACAGATATCCTATCTATTAAGATTGATTGACATATCTGAGTACTTGGAGAAGAAAATGTCCTGGACTTCCAAGTAGTAGCATGTTGTGAGAATTGGTCCCTTCCAACTGTGATGACAGAGTTGACTCTGGCTCTGATGGCAGCTATGGTTTTAAGTCATATAAGGCCATTGCAGTAGACATGCATATCCATTGATGAAACTATAGATACTGGGAAATTGCTGGTAGCAAAATAGAAAGGGTTGCAGAATCCAAATTCACTCTGTTGTGTGCTTTCTGGAAAACAAAGAAAGAGAAACTAAAAGGTTGTAGCTTGGATATTATGTTACAAGCATCGCTCTAATATTTTCCACCAGTTTAACAGCCATCACCTCAATACTGTTGCTAAGCAACTTTGAATTTCTTCTGCTTATAGCTATCTCTTCTGGGAATATTCCTTAGCTAAAAAATATTTTGCTTATCCAGTTGATTGTTTCTTATTGCTTGTTTGTATTCCTTGGCTGATGCTGTGATTTATTTTAAATGTGTACTATCCCAAATCATTGAGATGATTATATAATAATAATAATATTAATAAATTAAACTTATATGCAGCCCACTCTGGGCGTCTCACAACTGTCAAACAGAGAAATTACAATAAAATCAATAAAACATAAAAAATAAAAGGGCTTGTTGTGTTAGATATTTAAATAATAAGATTACCATAGTAACTATTATAGAATTCTCAGAACAAAAATATCTTGCATGATAAAACAGGGGAAAGACTGCAATAGTATGCCAGGAGAATCAGGAAATACTCAGATCTCCTTGTTTCTTTGCACTAGAATTTTTCCCATTTTCCATATGATTACAAGATTTTAGAAGTCTACCGTTCAGACAATGTTTGGTAACATCCTTTTTGCCAGGTAGTATCTTCCAGTTGTGGTTTGGGCTATGGACAAGATTAGCTAAAGAGGAATTGATCAGAATGATGACAAGGTTTGATTTCTTTATTTACTATGTTAGGATCGGGACTTGCCCTGGCTTCCAAGGCACAACATTGCTCTCAAGCAGTTATGTCTATGCCACTTTAAAAAGTATGTAAGCCAAACTTTAAGGAGGCATACAATCTAGCAAACTGTAGATGACCAAAGCTGAATGATAAAAGCAGCCCCCCCCCATTAATTTTCAGAGGTATACCACTCTTATCCTTTGTCTCTCTTTCTCCTCTGTTACTGCTTTGAAGTTGTTGCTTGGCAGTGGAGTTGGTACTGTTCGTCTCTATGACACTGAAGCCAAGAAGAATCTTTGTGAAATTAGCATTGATGAAGATATGCCCAGGTATAAGCCTCATCTTTATCCTCTGTATTTCATCTCAAATGATGGTGTTTTTTGTGACAAGAATAAGATCAGTATTGCTATTTCTGTTTTCTATTTAAGATCTACATCTATCTGTCCATGACATAATGATAATTGTTGCTTAAGTTGATTACTCATTTGTGAATCATGAGCATATTTTCAGCTTTGCTTGTGTGACTTCTGTGCCATTTCAACAGTCTTGGGGGAGGTTGTTAATGTTTTATTTGAGAATATTTTACATCTATGGCTTCTCTGCATAGGAGAACTCCATGATAGAAGAAGCACATAGGATTTTCATAATTTTGCTTACCACTTTTGGTAAATGTGGCAAACCTTCTCAACCTTGGATTGTAAGACAGTGCCCAGGTTAAAGAGGTAATATGCTGCTATATCATCAAAGTTCTAGGGCCAAACCAAGTGATAGAGGGAAGCAGAGGATTTTCCTGGGCCTCATGTAGAAGTGCAGCATGAGCTCAAACACAGCCTTTATTCTATGGATGTTTGGCCATAGTCATCCATAGCTGCTTTTACTCATTTACATTTACTTAAGAGATCTTTAGAGATTGGAGGAGGAGAGAATGAAGAAAGTATAGTATATTTAAAATTTTAATATTCTGAGTGGTATCTATGATACCCAGTGTAGATGCATGATTTTTTGTGTGTTAGGAAGGAAGACTATGTAGAACTCTAATCAGAGTCAATAGCAGTTGCTTTCCCTCTTGATTCTATGGACTATCTATGTGGAAAGCCACAGCAAATTTTGTGTCTCTGTATTTCAGGATCCTCTCCCTTGCGTGTAGTCCAAGTGGTGCTTCCTTTGTCTGTTCAGCTGCAGCATCTGGCCTTGTCAATCAGCTAGATTATGCTACACCAGATTCTGGAGGAAAAGGCATAAATCACGTTCCTGGGAAATTGCTTTTGTGGGACACCAAAACTATGAAGCAGCAGGTATAGTGTAATGTGGTTTTTTTCCACCCTTGAGCTTATTTGGTAAAAACAAAGGAATGTTTTCTTAATCTGTAGCTCCAAAAAAAAGAGAGTACCTAATCAATGTTTTTAACAAATCCTTCATATGTTGTTTGATATTTCTTCTTAATATTATGGTTGCTTAAACCTTTTGAAAAATTAAATATCACAGTAGCTTTAATATTGATGTGAGCTAATGCTAAGTTGATCAATACATGTTTGCTACTGCCACCTTCTAGATTTTATTTTTATTTATTTATTTATATTTCAAATTTGTCATTGCCCATCTCACTGCAGAGCAACTTTACAGTAAAAACAATAAATATTAATTAAAATAGAATAAATATGAATTAAAATACATTACAACAATGAGATTCCTACACGATACTACCAAGAGACTGAAGTTAACTAGGAGTTATTAGACTCAGGGAGCATCTTCAAGGGGCCAGCCATCCCCAGAGTTGGTTGTATCTCTTCTCACCGGACCCGAGTTGGCAGAGTCTGGTCTTCAATTCCTTCTGGAAAGCTGGGAGGGTAGGGGCCCACCTCACCTCTGGGGGGAGAATATTCCATAGATCCAACATTGCTTAAGGATTCCTAGGTGGCTTTTGTGGCCAAGTGTACTTTTGCTCAGCTTTGAGTGATACAGTGTTTACATCTCTTCCTGGAAAATATCCAGCCATAGTAAGGACTGCATCACTCAAAGCTGAGTTATCTTTCGTGTAAAGAAAACTAACAAGTATGCCTCTCTCCCATGACCCTATGAGAGGATATCCTTCCCCTTAATCGGGATAAATTATATTTAGACTTCTCTTGGTGGGAATTTTTTTCCAACTGATAGAAAATAGCCATTACCAAGAAACATAGGCTAGTTTGATCAAAGGTCCTGGTTTCCATCTGGTGCTTACAGAATATAGTAGGAGATGAACAAACTCAGATGTAAATTTGTGGTGTTTGCTTGAACAACTGGATACCTCAGAGTAACTGCTCCCTTGGGAAGAACAAACAATTTAAATTCTCTATTTTTTGTTTGCTGTTTCAGCTCCAATTTTCTCTTGAACCAGAGCCCATTGCTATAAACTGCACAGCCTTCAACCATAATGGGAATCTGCTGGTCACTGGAGCAGCAGATGGCATAATTCGCCTCTTTGGTAAATGGCTATATCATACTTTGGATTGTTCATTTTTTTCATTTTAAACTCTATAGGTCCTAGGATTTTCAGTTAATGGGCAGACACCTCATTGTGGAGCAGGAGTGAGAGAATGGGCCAAAGGCTGGTACAATGACAGAAGTTAACCAATGATATTATTCTCATTTAATCCTTTTCTTTTTATTAGATCCCTCATCTTAGTAGATATGATGTAGTGCCCTTTAGGTATATTTTGACTGTAATTCTCAGATAGGATAAAACCTTGAGGAAAGTTGTTATCGATCCTTATCTGTGTGTATAACATTGAGTGAGCTCTCTATATCAGGCTTCATACTAGGACCTGACAGTTAATCTCCTCTCTTCCCTCCCACCCCATACTGGAATAAACAGAACTAATGCATTGTTTGCATTTTGGGAGAGATCATTAGATTTCAAAATTTGTCTTTTTTCTTGGATGTAACTTCAGTTAGGGATGAGAAACATTCCCCCTCCCCCAAGTTTTGAACTTCTAACTCCAACAAGCAAACCCAGTGGTGAAATTCACGATACATGTTGTGGTCCAAATTCAGTGGAGGTCACCAGATGCTGTCTCCCTAGCTTCAGAGCATCCACAGCCTTTTAATAGAGCGGAAGATTGGTGGAATTACTGCATGTAGAAGACCATTGTAACTGTTGTGTTCATGCAGGAAAGAGAAGAATTTTCCTCCCTTATAGTTTGCTTCCTCTAGAGAAATCATCCCACTAGTACACCAGCCAGCGCAGGTCTTCCCAGCCACAATATTAACACAGGTGGGCAAGAAAGACGGCAAATTCAAAAACACTATGTTAGAGGACTATGAAAGTAAACCTCTCTGTCTTCCAGATATGCAGCAGCATGAGTGTGCTATGAGCTGGAAGGCCCACGATGGAGAGGTCTATTCTGTTGAATTCAGCTATGATGAGAATGCTGTTTACAGTATTGGTGAAGATGGAAAAGTAGGTTTTGGAAAAATTGTAGCCAAACAATTATATAATCATAGCAACACTTTTATTTATATCGGCATTTACATGTCTTTTTTTGGAGACACAGTTGGCCCTCAAAATAGCTGGTAACTACATTTAATTAATGTGACCTCATCTGGAATAGACCTGGCAACCCTCTGTATCTTCTGAAGTTTCATCTAAAAACTGGTAATCCTGTGAGTCTACAGGTCTTTTTGAAAACTAGCAGATATCCTGAAGAGTAGGGACCCCATTGGTTGTGTTTCTTCTGGTGTCAATAATTTCTCTCATTGTATTTGTAGGTGCTGTAGCAAAGCAAAGAATGCATGCGTTTTGTTGTATATCTGACTGGAATCTCTTATATCATTCTAGTTTATTCAGTGGAATATTCATAAAAGTGGATGCAAAATATCTGAATATAGTCTCCCCAGAGATGCTACTGGCCCCTTTGTGTTGTCTGGCTATAGTGGATACAAACAAGTCCAATTCCCACGTGGAAGGCTCTTTGCATTTGACTCTGAAGGAAACTACATGCTAACCTGTTCTTCCACTGGAGGTGTTATCTACAAGGTACTGGCTACTAGTCAAGATGACTACAGGCTATCTCTATAATAAGAACTGAATTTGTTCTTATTGAATTTGTTCTCAACTGTGGTTTATGAATAAGCATCCATTTGATGGGCTTGCATAACAAGTGAAACTACATGATTAAGAAATCACATGTCTAAGTCAAAATCGAGTAACCACATTGTAGTTTAGCATTATATGTTAATCTGGCCACATCCCACTGGATGGAATTTGCTAAATAAGAACAGGAGGGTTCTTTTGTTCTTGTAGCCATCTGGATGGATATTGGAAACAGCTAACTATACTAGATGGGCCTTTCCTGTGGTAATATATACTGTTAAAGTAATAGGGTTTGGGAAACTCATGGGTGGAGACAGAGTAAATGTATCATATTTTGACAAGTAGAGTGGTGAAGTTTTGGTCTATTTTATGATCCATATAAGTTAACCTGTATTAACATTAATATATATTGCACTTCAGTAATCATTCTGGCATTATTTATCTGAGCTTTCCTGGATGACTTAAAGTCCAGGGTAATATTCTAATTTTTTAAAAAGACCAGAGTTGTCCTAGAATTTTAGTTTTCAGATTAGTGATTTCTGCTGTAGGAGCCTGCTAATCGTTGATTTATCTTTTCTCTATTTCAGCTGAGCAGCAATGACAAAGTACTAGAGAGCTGCCTTTCCCTGGGAGGACATAGGGCTCCAGTGGTCACTGTGGACTGGTGCACAGCCATGGACTGTGGGACCTGCCTCACTGCGTCCATGGATGGGAAGATCAAACTAACCACTCTACTGGCACAGAAGTCTTAAATGAAACTGGCTCCAAGATGTGAACTATTTTTTTCTACAGAAGAATGAATTATCAGTATTAACCATTAGCTTCAAGCTTTTGTGGGGGGAGGGAAGGTCTTAATGTCATCATCTCCTTTAAAGTTAGGAGTTAAGTTTAACTGCCAAACTACTGCCACTTAGGAGAGTAAGTTGTAACAGTTCATCTCAACAAATAATAAGCATTCACTGATCATCAGGCTCCTTTCTATAAGGATCAGCCCCATTTTTTCCCTTGGTCTTCATTAGCACATAGCCATAAATCTCTGGGTTTGTGCTAAGGTGGAATGCAAATTTGTAGTGGTTCTAGCAGGCAGGAGATGGGGTGGGAAGTCTTGTGCAAAAATCTAATAGTATTCTCTGCATTTCTTACTAGAAGAAAATGTTTGATTGCATTTGTCACTTATGCTGCTTTGGTAGTTTGAAGAACATTCCATGGTGTGCTTCTAGAAGAAAAAAGAAAGTTACTATATAAGTCATATTGTTTCATTTCTCTTTATTTAGATATTTTGGATGTTTAATATAGAGTATAGAAAGCATATGATAGTAAAAATGCAATGAAATGGCGTCTGTTTATTTCTACCAATTTTTAATCAGTTTGTCCTAATTAAGCTCTGTTAAGAAAGAAAGAAAGTTGAGAGTTCTATAGGTTTTTGCATTAGTAAAACCATCTTTCTCGCAATTGTGCATGTTTGGAAAGGATAAGCATGCACTGTATGCAGTCAAAAACATCTATGCATGGCTTAAGTTCCAAGCAAAAATACTGGCATATGATACCTTGGAATTGCTTTTATGTTAGTCCATAATTTTTCAGATATTCTTGTAACGTGAGTAGTGTAATTGGTCATTAGCCTGAGTTCATAGAATGCGATTACTCTCAAATACATCTAATAGCTGGATGATAGCCGAAGGCACAGCTGTGGTCTTCTGCTGTAGCAGACTGAACACCGAATTCCAAGCAGAAGGTGAACAGCAGTGTCTGTAATAAAAGAAATGTGGTTAGTGTGGCAGGTACTGAAGATGGCTTAAAGAAATGGAGACAGGTTCTGTCTGCTAGATTCAGACCTCCATGCCATAATAATCTAGAACAGAGATGGTGAACCTTTTGGGCTTGGCATGTCAAACATTCAGAAAATGCCTAACTTGACACTGCTGGCATGTCACTCCCCCAGAACAAGAGAAACAATTCTTTACATATTCATTTATTTTAAAAAAAATACAGTCCAATCATGTGTGGTGCTATGTATTATATAAAGAAATGTCAAATAATTACTAAAATGAAATACAAGTAAAACAAACATAGTGTCTTTGGTAACTCAAACAGGGAGAATAGTTGTCAGGTGTTGGTGAATGCTGGTGTGTCACCCAAAAGTGGTGTGTCACCTTTGACACGTGTGTCATAGGTTCACCATCACTGATCTAGAATAAAATTCTTTTTTTATTAAGGGGAAAAATAGATGAAATGGCACCATTCCACATGCAAGCGACTAGCATGCTTATGGAAGTGCAGTATAGACAGATTAAAAAACAGTGGAGAAAATTCCAGAATTATCCTCTTAAGGCTGAATGTTGTTATTACTGATGAACAGAGTGGAGGCCTTTTTTTCTGTAGAGCAGTGTTGTCCAAACTTGGCCACTTTAAGATGAGTGGACTTCAACTCCCAGAATTCCCCAGCCAGCCATGCTGG